GCGCCATTCATTCCTATGGGACCAATTTCACCACAAAAACAGCAATATTTTGTGAACCATTCGGCGAAACGTTCCACAAATAGAACACCAAATTGGGAACAATCCGCACGTTTCGGTATATTACTGTTTATGTAGTGTAAAAAACTGTGGGAGGAGTTAGGGTGGTAAATTTGGCTATAATAAGAATATATACAGTGGGGATAAAATTTCTGCAATTTTGGATGGTAACTTGATGCCATCTGTGAAAAAGCTGAAGTTAAAGAGAGGATGGCTTCTACAAATGGATAATGATCCTAAACACACCTCGAAATCCACAGGGGATTACATCAAGAGGCGTAAACTGAAGGTTTTGCCATGGCCTTCACAATCTCCTGACCTCAACATAATTGAACATCTATGGATAGACCTTAAAAGAGCAGTGCGTGACAGACAGCCCAGAAATCTCAAAGAACAGGAAGACTTTTGTAAGGAAGAATGGGCAAAGATACCTCAAACAAGAAATTGAAAGACTCTTGGCTGGCTACAAAAAGCGTTTACAAGCTGTGATACTTGCCAAAGGGGGAAGTACAAGATATTAACTCTGCAGGGTGCCCAAACTTTTGCAGATGCCATTTTTTTTGTTTTCTGTTATTTTGAAAGTGTAAATGATGGAAATAAAATCTAACTTTTGTTGACATATAAGAATGTCTAATCTGTAATTTGATGCCTTTTGGAGATTTTTCCATCTTTCCTTGGCTTCTTTATGCACATTAATACAAATTTTTAGTTGGGGTGCCCAAACCTTCGATCCCCACTGTATGTGAGATAACAATAAGTGGTCTTGCCATGCAAGAACACTTAATAATCATACCTCTTGTTCACACCACATGTGCATAAAAACTGATAGGAAAACTGCAGATTTCACTTGGAGAGACACGAATTTAGATCAGTTTTCATGAATGTTTCATACACATACAGTTTTAAACACAATGCAGCTTCCTGCGCAAACAAAAATCTACACATTATATTAGTGTTGTGGTGTGAACACGGCATAGAGAACAATGGGGTTTTTTTTCTGCCTGTGCAGAAGGCACACAGAAAAACTGACATCTCTGCACCATAGTGTGAATGAGGCGTTCAAGTGTCGCCTATGGCAATTTACCTCCTTCTTGCCCAACCTATTGTACAATGATGGCCGAGCGGGATCCCTAATACCCGCGCTCTGGCACGATCTGTCACTGGCTGTGTCCACTGGAGATGGCTGATGACAGATCACTACACTGGCCCTCTGCCAGTGTCATGTAATCGCTGTGAACAATCACAGCAGATCACATGACAGTTGTAAGCAACGAATGTTTTCCTTTCATGTCATTCATTGCTTACAACTGTGCTGCTAGCTGTGACTGGTCATATGTACAGACTGGGCCAATCATAGCCTATCTGTACCATGTGATCAGCTGTGGACAATCACAGCTGATCACAACAAAACTACTGAATGAATCAGTTTCAGTAAAACTTCTTGCTTATACCAATGAAATGGTAACATGGTATTGCTCTGGTCAAAGGAGCAGGAAAAAATTTAAAAAAAAAGTATTTTTTTTAAATTCTCCTTTAAACATACTGTCGCCAGTGTCTCTGATCACCGTCGTACCAGTTATATGATCATGCTGTACTGCATTGGTGACAGAATGTGTAAAAAAAAAAAAAAAAAAAAGTGGATTTTTTTTCATTTCTTCCTTTTCCACAAAAAGGCAAAAAATGACAAATTGCAAAAAACTCGCCATGTCTCTTGCTAAATACCTCAGACTGTCTACTTTCCGAAAAGCAGTCATTTATAGGGTATTTGTGCCATAGTTAATGAACTCTATAACTTTCCTACCAACTAAATAAAACACTTGGGATATTTTATCAAAGAAATGTAGATTTTGGCCTAAATTTGTGTAGAAAGATTCATTTTTTTCATTTAGAGCGCAAAAAATAAAAAAGTAGTGATTAAATACCACAAAAATAAACCTCTATTTATGTGAAAAAAATTATAAAAATTTCATATGGGTACAGTGTTGCATGACGGCACAATTGTCATTCAAAGTGTGACAGTGCTGAAAGGTGAAAATTAGCCTAGGCAGGAAGGGGGTAAAAGTGCCTGGTAGGCAAGTGGCAAATGTACCATAGATTGTTGCTGTTCCATGAGCATGTGCAATGGTAAAGTGACACAGACATATTTTGTATCTATTTACATAATTTTTATATTTTATCAAAAATCGGGTATTATATTGTGCTTGTGACTACTATAATTCATTAAAGTGTATTTTCTTTTTGAAAAACTGCTGCACAAATATCGTGTAACAAAAAAAATTGGAACACCCACCATTTTATTCTCTAGGGTCTCTGTTAAAAAAATATATATATAATGTTTGGGGGTTCTAAGTGATTTTCTAGCAAAAAATGTTTATTTTTTACATATATGACAGAAATGTCAGAATTGACCTGGGGGTTAAGTTGTTAATGCAAAGAATGCATTAAGGTTAAAAAAACCCTTTTTGTGTTTAGAACCACCTTGAAAAAGATCTTCCAATGAATGTACAGTGCATTCAGAAATTATTCAGACCCCCTTCACTTTTTTCAATTTTGTTGTGCTACAGTCTGATACTGCAGTTGTTTAAATTCATTTTTTTTTCTCATTTATCTATACTCAGCACTTGAAAAGAAAGAAAGCTTTTGCAAACTCCAAGCGTGCTCTCATGTGTTTTGCACAGAGGAAAGGCTTCTTTCTAGCCACTCTGCCATAAAGCCAAGATTGGTGGAGGGCTGCAGTAATGGTTGGCCTTCTTGAACTTTGTCCCATCTCTACAAAAGATCTCTGGACCATTGGGTTCTAGGTTACCTCTCTTACCAAGTCCCTTTTTCACAGATTGATCATTTTGGCCAAAACGACCAGCTCTTGGAAGACACCTGTTTGTGCCAAACTTCATCCATATGGGAATTATGGAAGCCACTGTGATTTTGGGGACCTTCAGTGCAGCAGAAATTGTTTTGTAGCCTTTGCCAGATCTGTGCCTTGCAATAATCCTGTCTCTAAGCTATGCAGACAGTTCCTTTTGACCTCATGGCTTTTGCTCCGATACAGTATGCATTGTCAGCAATCGGGCTTTTCATAGAGAGGCGTGTGACTTTCCAAATCATGTCCAATCAATTCAATTTACCACAGGCGGTCTCCAATTAAGGTGTAGAAACATATCAGCAATGACCACGACAAACTGAGACACCGGAGTTAAATTTCAAGTGTTGTTGCAAAGCGTCTGAATACTTTGTCCAATATGATATTTCAGTTTTTTATTTTTAATAAATTTACAGACATTTCTAAAATGTTTTCACTTTGTTATTATGAAGTACAGAGTGTAGATTAACCACTTGCCCTCCAGAGGTTTTTACCCCCCCCAGGCCATTTTTTGTGTTACGGCGCTGCGTTACTTTGTAACGCTGCACCCAAATAACATTTATGTCCTTTTTTTCCTCACAAATTGAGCTCTCTTTCGGTGGTATTTGACCACCTGTGCGGTTTTTATTTCTTGCGCTACAAGAAAAAAAAAAAAAAAAGACCCACAATTTTGAGAAAAAAAAAATATTTTTGACGGTTTGCCACTAAATATCTCCTTAAAAAAATTTGAAAAATCTAATTTTGTCATAAATTTACACCAAAATGTATTCTGCTACGCTTTTGCTTAAAAAAAAAAAAAATCCCAATGTCTGTAAATTATTTGGTTTATGTGCAAGTTATAGAGCTTACAAATGGCGGTATATATACTGGGATTTAATTTTTTTTTTTACTAGTAATGGGCGATCAGCAACTTATAGCAGGACTGCGGAGGACATTCTGACACTGGGGGGAACTGACTTTGTGTCACAGACATCCCCAGTGACACCAATACAGTGATCAGTGCTAGAAAAACAAAAGCACTGACACTGTACTAATGGCACTGGGCAGGAAGGGGTTAACATGAGGGGGCAATCAAAGGGTTAACTGTGTGCATGGAGTGTTTTACTAGGGGGCTGTGTCAGTGTGTTTCACTGTAATCACACTGCTCTGGATGGTTATGCTGAGCAAAACAGTCCTCCTCCCTGTTGGAGATCTTCGTAAATCACTGGGCGCCGGCGAGCAATTACCGTCCGGGACCCGGTGACTGACAAACGCAAATGGCAGTGCGGGTAGGGCTCGGGCACGCCCCTTACCCGGAAATGCAAAATCACGTGTATATATACACACATGATTTTGCGCAACCGTGCCGCCCTGTAGCAGTATTTCTACTATAGGGTGGACGGGAAGTGGTTAATGAGAGAAAACATTTTTTAAACTGTAGTATCAGGCTTGAAAAAAGTGAAGGGGGTCTGAATACTTTCTGAATGCACTGTACATACATTCCTAAAAACACTTTTAATTTTAAAAAAAAATGAATATACTTGCTGGACTGTTACTCTTAACTTTCGTTGTCTGCAAAAATTGTACATTTTTTGGTGTAATAGACAGAAGTACGTCTTAAGAACAGTCCTGGAACTGGAAGTTAGTTATTCTAAGAGCTGTAGATTCTGGAGAACACTGACAACTGTTACATGTACCTATCCTTTATTTTGATCATGTAAAAAATGAAGAAGGTCTAAAGCCCCATACATACGGGCAAATATCGGCCTGAAACCAGCCAGTACAGTAGATACTGGCTGACATTCGGCCCAAGCATACGAGTCCCAGTTTGACAGAAGCCGATCTCTCGGCCAGCTTCTGTTGAAAGGCATCTAATCAGCACTCTCAGCCAATGGCTGCGAGCACTGACGTGTGTAGTCTGGTGGGGGTGGTCCCCTGTCAGAACACATTAGCTCAGCGAGGATATCGCTGTACTAAAATTGCATAGTTAGTACAGAGGCCTCCTCGCAGGCTGCTGAGTTTGTACCATGCTTTAGACTGCCCTAATACAGGCAGGTAGGTTCCAGAACATGTAATTTACTCCCTGCACGGAATTTGACAGCCCTCATTGGCTATTTTCTGACCTCCAATCATCTCTGTATTGAACACAGGGCATCATATGGCAAAAAAAAAAAAAAAATCTGTTATTTACACATTTCCTGTAGCAATCATAACTTCTAAAAATGTTCTGCCTGCACTTCTTATCCACTGCCACTAGAAAGTATACTTTACGATCAGCTAAATAGCCTGGACCACACAACCAGAAGACCATAAAACGTACCTTTTTTGTGCGTATCAATTTGTGATCTCTGAACTCAGTCAGCTGAGCCCTTAATGTTAAGTCGCTGTTGACAAGAAAAGCTTCTCTACATTGCTGATAAAAGTCTTGAAATGAAAGTCCTAAAGAAGGGATGCAATAGGATTTAAATAACATCACCATCTGAAACAATCCCACTTCTACAAATTTCAAAAACATTTTGCTTGATTCTGTATTTTTACAGATCTTTGTTGCTCTGGAATGTTAAAATCTTTCATAAAGCAGGCATTCAGTAACGGTCAGCTGTACATGGTAATAGTCAAATCTTGTATTACCAGAAATTGGAGGGGAGTTTGATAATGTCCTCACAACCAGGAGAAACCTGTATAGCGTTAAACACCAAGTACTGTTTTTTTTTTTGTTTTGTTCTTTAACTCAGGCTGTAGCAGCTTCAAAAAGAAAAGCTGTAAGACATTGAACAACTATTGTTTTGATGCATCTGGAATGTATTTAGCCAATTTAAAATGAAGGGTCATTTTGGCTTTGGCCCAGAAAACACAGACTTCATTCTACAATAGGAGTTTGGGGAGGGCAAATATACATGAATCAGAAATGAATGGCAAATTAGAACATATGGGCAAAATGCTGGTATCATTTAAATTTTATTATTAATGCATTTATTCTGAAAGGATCACTTAAATTAAAAATAAAAGTGATCATATGCCAATATAAAAACAAAATAAGACACAAAGACTACACTGAAAAAGAGACACCCTCACCCAATGCTTTTAGAAATTCTCCATTTTCATGGGCTTGCATGCAAATAGGACTGAACACAAAAGGAACTAATCCAAAATTAGGAGAGAAATTAACTACAGGAGGCAAAACAAGTATTGAAAAGGTCACCATTTTTCTAGGTAAATATATTTCTAAAGGTGCTATTGAAATTACATTTTCACCACATCAGTAACAACCAATGCGACCCATACATACAAAGAAACCAAAACAAATAAGTTAAGAAAGTTATGTGTAATAAAATTGAATGACACAGGGAAAAAGGTATTGACATATGTATACTGAAATGGTGAAATTTATTTTATACTTCATACAAAATCCTTTGTTGGTAATGACAGCTTCAAGATGCCTCCTGTATGGAGAAACTAGTTGCATGCATTGCCCAGGTGTAATTTTGGCCCATTCTTCCACACAATTTTCAAATCCTGAAGGTTCCGTGGGCCTCTTCTATGAACTTTAGTTCTTTCCATAGATTTTCTATTGGATTCAAGTCAGATTATTAGCTGAGCCATTCTAGCAGCTTTATTTTATTTTTTTTAAACCAATTGAATTCCTTGGCTTTGTTTGGGGTCATTTTCTTGCTGTTGGTATGGTGTTTCTGAGGAGATGTGCCGTGCCATTTGACCTCCAAACATGGCGTGTACTATGGCATCCAAAGAGTTTAATTTTGGTCCCATCTGACCAGACTATATTCTCCCAGTATTTCACAGGCTGTCTAAAATGTTGCACAGTAAACTTTAAACGAGTTTCAACATGCTTTTTCTTCAGTAATGGAGTCCTGTGTCACATGAGCATGCATATAGGCCATGGTGGTTGATTGCATTACTTATTGCTTTCTTTTAAACAATTGTACCTGCTAATTCCAGGTCTTTCTGAAGCTTTCCACAAGTGGTCCTTGGCTCTTGGACAACTGTTCTGGTAAGATTTCTAACGGAGTGGAAAAAATTATCAGGAGTACCTGGTTGTGGCCGGTTCATGGTGAAAATGATGTTCTTTCCACTTCCACATTATGGCACCAACAGTGCTCACAGGAACATTCAGATGTTTAGAAATCCTTCAGTAACCAATGCTATCAGTAGGTTTTGCAACAATAAGGTTGCAAAGGTGAGCTCTTTGCTTTTACCAATCATGAGATGTTTCATGTGACACCTTGGTAATAAGATACCGGTTTATAGGCTATCAGTTGAGACTGAACCAGCTGATATTATTTTGCACTGAGAAGGGACAGGATTGTTTTCTAATTACTGGTGTCTTGGCTTTCCATGCCTTTTTGCACCTCCCTTTCTTCATGTGTTCAATACTTTTTCCCTGTGTCACTCCATTTTTTTTTTTTTTACACATAACTTACATCCCTAAACTTATTTGTTTTGGTTTCTTTGTATGTATGGATTGCATGGGTTGTTACTGATATGTGGTGAAAATTTCATGTCAATAGCACCTTTAGAAATATATTTACTGAGAAAAATAGTGATGTTTTCAATACTTATTTTACCTGCTTTATGCACAATATATATGGTCACACATACCTTGGTATGAAGGGTTGTCCTTGTTGGCCAACTGATACTCTGCCAGAAGCCGGAAAATACCTCTGAAAACCATAAAAGAAAGAATGTCTAAAAAATATATTTGGATGCCAATGAACAAACCTTATATACACTGCTCAAAAATATTTAAGGAACACTTTTTAATCAGAGTATAGCATCAAGTCAATTAAACTCCTTGGATATTGATCTGGTCAGTTAAGTAGAAGAAGGGGTTGTTAATCAGTTTCAGCTGCTTTGGTGTTAATTAAATTAACAGGTACACTAGATGGGCAACAATGAGACAACCCCAAAAACAGGACCGGTTTTACAGGTGGAGGCCACTGACAATTTTTTCCCTACTCACCTCTTCTGACTGTGTTTCACTAGTTTTGCATTTGGCTAGGGTCTGTGTCACTACTGGTAGCATGAGGCGATAACTGGGCTCTACAGAGGTTGCATAGGCAGTCCAACTCCTCTGGGATGGCACATCAATACGTGCCATTGCCAGAAGGTTTGCGGTGTCTCCCGGCACAGTCTCAAGAGCATGGAGGAGATGAGACAGGCAGTTACTCTAGGAGAGCTGGACAGGGCAATAGAAGGTCCTTAACCCATCAGCAGGACCGGTATCTGCTCCTTTGTGCAAGGAGGAACAGGATGAGCACGGCCAGAACCCTACAAAATGACCTCCAGCAGGCTACTAGTGTGAATGTCTCTGACTAAGCAATTAGAGACAGACTTCATGAGGGTGGCCTGAGGGCCTGACGTCCTCTGGTGGGCCCTGTGCTCACTGCTCGAAACCATAGAGCTCAATTGGCCTTTGCCACTGAACACCAGAATTGGCAGATCCATCAATGGCACCCTGTGCTTTTCACACATAAGAGCAGGTTCACCATGAGCACATGTGACAGACGTGAAAGGACCTGGGGAAGCTGTGGAGAATGTTAAACTGCCTGTAACATCATTCAGCATGACAGTTTAAGTGGTGATGGTCTGGGGGAGGCATATCCATGGAGGGACACACAGACCTCTACAGCTAAGCAATGGCACCCTGACTGCCATTAGGTATCGGGATGAAATCCTTGGACCCATTGTCAGACCCTACACTGGTGCAGTGGGTCCTGGGTTCCTCCTGGTGAACGACAATGCCCGGCCTCATGTAGCAAGAAATATGCAGGTATTTCCTGGAGGATGAAGGAATTGATACCATTGAATGGCCCCCACGCTAACCTGACCTAAATCCAATAGAACACATCTGGGATATCAGGTTTCAGTCCATCCGACACTGCCAGATTGCACCTCAGATCAGTCCAGGAGCTCAGTGATGCCCTGGTCCAGATCTGGGAGGAAATACCCCAGGACACCATCCGTCATCTCATTAGGAGCATGCCCCGATATTGTCAGGCATGCATACAAGCATGTGGGGGCCATGCTAACTACTGAGTACCATTTTGAGTGGCTGCAATGAAATTTCAGCAAAATGGACTTGCCTGCTGCATAATTTTTTCACTTTGATTTTCAGGGTGTCTTTCAATTCAGTTCTCTGTAGGCTGATCATTTTCATTTCCTTCAAACGATGGGGATCCTTACATTCCTAACACATTACCCAGTCCATATCAGTATAGATATCCAGCATGATATTTTACCCCAATTAGATCTGATGTGTTTTCAAAGTGTTCCTTTAATTTTTTTGAGCAGTGTACATCTAATCTTATATACATCTCTCTGTACATGTCCAATTTACTACAGCATTTTTAGTATCAACTTGATTGTAATAAATTATACCATGCCAAATAGTTTTAACCACTTGATGACCGGCCACTACATACATATAAGGCCAGTCCACTTCCCCACTGTTCTGGAAAGTGTGTGTGTAAGTGTGTGCGTGTGGTACGTCCTCTGGGATCTGCACTCCTTTCTACGTCTAGTCCTGTGATCATACTTTGACTGGACACAGTGGATTACAGGCAATAGGTACAGAGCCAATGAGAGTGGGTCTGTACCAGTTAATCACTGGTGACCAATCACAGCATCACTAAATGTAAACAAAAGCAGTGCCTCATTTACTGGCTGGTGATCAGGAAGAACTCTTATTTTCACACACTAATCAATATGTGAGGAAAGAAATTATCTTGAAACAACAGCCAGCAATGCAATATAGTATCAGCATCCACAAGATAAAAACCCATCCCTCTACTGTCATACGCTCCCTCTACAGTATATGTTAAATGCATCCTGTCTTTGATATGACCTGTATACTGACCCATCACCTTCCTTTTCCTGCACATCTGTACATAAACCCCTTCAACTACCTCCTCCCACTGTATGTGACCCGTACATTACACCCTTCTCTTGATCCCTCTGTATTTCTATATAATGTATCTCATGCACCTTTACCAAGTTCCATGTTTTAACCCCCTTAATACCAGCATAGTTATGCGCATTTCCAAAAGACTGATTTTTTTTTTCGCAACAGATCACTTTAGGGTGTCTACTTTCCAAGAAGGGGTCATTTAGGGTTTTTTTGCATTCTAATGTGCTACATTTTATAACAGAAAGGGAAACTTTGTTTTCAATACTTTTAGCCTTCCTTTCTTTCTTTATATAGTAAAAATAAAACATGATTATTTATCACCAAAGAACGATCTATAGGTCTCTCTCAAAAAAAAAAATCCATTTAGGTACAGTGTTGCATGACGTCATTTTCAGTCAAAGTATCACAGTGCTCAAAACCGAAAAATGATCTGCTAATGAAGGGGGTGAAACATGCTGGTACCTAGGTGGTTAAAGAATATGTAAACCCAACATTTCATATTCCTGATATGTGCCTGCTGTACCATGTATTTGTATGAAATAGTATCCTGTTCTCTTTGTATTAATTTTTGTGTGAAATTCCTGGTTCTTGCCAGTCCTGCTTTCCTATTAAAAACTGACCACACTGGGCATGAGAGCGCAGTGTGATCAATTCTCTAGCTATGCTGGAACTCTGCCTGCTCTGCTCCAATGATCAGACTTCTGCTGACTTGCCGCCTCTCCACAGTCATTCACTAGGAATATCAGTTTCTCCTCCCTGAGCTCCTTAAGCAGCTGAGAACAGAAGGTATATGAGATCACGTATGAAAAAGGGGAAAAAAAAAAAAAAAAAAAAAAAACATAAAAAAAAAAGTATTTATAAGGGCATTTATATGTATATACAAATGTTTGTTTCATTTGCATTTTAAACTGAATACGTTGTTTTACAAGATCAGGGGTTAAATATGTAGATAAAACAATGTATAATAAACTTAGTGCAAAAATATGGAGCAAATTGTAAATTAAAACAATAAAAAGGTCAATAAAAAGTCCATCTATGTGAAATAGAGTGCAAAAAGTCGCAATGTTGACAATATTGAATCAATCGCAATGAAAAGTGCTCTCCAAGTGAATGATACCAGTGTTCACACACTACTTATCAGATGGAGAGATCTCAATAAATAGAGAACAACTGTGCTCTGCTGTGATACAGCCACAATATCCCCAACAGCAATTCAAGTTTGATAGGACTCCAGACAGGTGGAAAGGCTGCAGCATATAGAGATCAAAATGTGCCTTGTGGTGACCCAGCCACAATATCTCCCATAGCTATTTAGGTTTGCTATGGCTCCATTCAAATGGCATATGAGGCAAAGACAGTAAAAAGGGCTAACTCCCAGTGTAGCAAATCTTAAAATCATAAAAACGCAGTTATTTACCTGTTAACTGTATTTCCAGGAATCTTCTAGGACAGCTCACTTGAGAGATAGGGCTCCTCCCAGGAAACACCCGCTCCACCTTTTTTTTTTTTCCCCCTTTATAGGCGTCCTCTCTCCCATTGGCCCCCAGTATAAGAATATGACCGAAGGCCTAGGAGAAAAACAAAGAAGAAAACCAGTAATAAAGATATCCCCCATAGGTTCGCAACATACCTGCACATAATCGTGTGATCAAACAGTAATCGGGGGGGAGTTACGCTGTCCTAGAAGATTCCTGGAAATACAGTTAACAGGTAAATAACTGCGTTTTCCCGAGTCATCTTCTAGGACAGCTCACTTGAGAGGAGTAGAATAGAAATACGTACATTAGGGCGGGCACCCTGCTTGTAGGACCTTCCTGCCAAATGCCTGGTCCTTGCTGCCGATCAGATCCAGCCTGTAATGTTTAGTGAAGGTGGCGAAACTGGACCACGTCGCGGCTCTGCAGATCTGTCCGGGGGAGGCCCCCCCTTTTTCCGCCCAGGAGGCCGCAGTGGCCCTTGTGGAGTGGGCTTTTAGGCCGGGCGGTGGTGACAGGCCTGCCGACTTGTAACCTTCCGAAACTGCCTCTCTGATCCATCTGGCGATGGTGCCCTTGGAGGCACCGTCCCCCTTCCTTGGTCCCTGGAATAGGACGAAAAGCCGGGACGAGCGTCTCCATGTCTTTGTGCGTTCGATGTACGTGATCAAACACCGTCTTACGTCTAACCTGCTACAGTCCTCCGCGCTGCCCGGATCGGCCTCCAGGGAAGGTATTACTATTTCCTGAGATCTATGGAAGTGTGACGCGACCTTAGGTAGGAAGGCCGCGTCCGTGCGGAGGATGATTCTATCCAATAAGATGGTGCAGTACGGCTCGATCACTGAAAGGGCATGCAACTCGCTGACCCTGCGGGCAGAAACTAGTGCCGTGAGGAGGATGGTTTTAAGAGTCAAAGATCTGAGCGAACATTCATCCAGCGGTTCGAAAGGCCCCCGCTGAAAGCTCTTCAGGACTGTGCCCAGGTCCCATGATGGAAGTTTTTTGGCAAGGACGGGGCACGGCGCCTGGAGATAGCCCTCAGGAATCTGATTACTAATGGGTCTGCGCCAACCTCAGCTCGAGAAAGTTCGACAGAGCCGCTACCTGTACTTTGAGGGTATTGGCGGCCAGACTCTTATCCGCCCCGGCTTGAAGGAATTCAAGAACTGTATGCAAAATGGGCGTGCCGGTGCTTCGTTTCTGACCTTCCAGGCGGAAAACTTCTTCCAGACCTTGTCGTACAAGGCGTTCGTCGACCTCTTCCGGCCATCCAAAA